TATATATATATATAGTAATCATATAAATTGTTAATTACACGAAACATGAATATATACTCGTTCGAAATAAATTAGATCCATTTGGTCTTACACCTTGCATACTGGCACTTTACCCACTCGTTATTATAAAAGTAACGAAAGCATTGTAGTCTCATAACATACGCGTTTACGTTACTTAAAACCTAATCCGCATACACTAATTTACAAGAGAACAATTTAGGGCGTTCTGACTCAATGAAAATATTTCTTCGTCGCCTTTTTCGTCATTATTAACATTGTCCCTAGTTTCGATACATTGCACTTAAACATATTTAACTGTAATCCTTTATATATTTAGGAATCGTCAGGCTGTATATATGTGTGTGTGTGTGTGTATATGTATATATATTATGCATGCAAGCGTATGTGCCTGTGTTTGTGGGTGTACAATCGTTCTCTTCCCATGTCACACTATCATTATTGAAGTGATCCGAGCTAAAATCCTGTTTAATCTGTGTAATTACGTCATCACCGATCGAAGAATGAACGGTTATAAATCGCGTCCAAGGACAATGCTCGTTCTATTTTCAGTTGGGAGGGGAGGGGGAGGGTAACTCGATACACACGATACATATTTCCTGCCGTGGATACATTTTTCCCTCGACACGGCGCGCGATCGTGTACATATTATGCCTACACACGCCTACGCCATGCGTGGATGAGTGCAAATGATCTCTCTCTTAATAGCTACTTATTATCATCGGGAGCTTGCAACACATTACACAATCATTCTACTATTCACACCGCCGAATAATACCATTATACATTAGTGCATTATGACGCGAAATAGAAAACACTTAGTCATAAGGCATCGAATCGATTCCATCTAATTTGTTACGTTGTTAAACCGGGAATAGTCGCGCGCGCGCGCGCGCAAGAAGCAATTCCGCAAGCGACAAGGACTTTTAACTGAACGAAAGTCGGAGATTCGAGAGTGTCGGCAGGACGGGCTGTCGTGCAGTTTATATACGGTTGACACTGCTGTTTACGGGAAACGACATTATGCGCGTTATATACTTCGTTTATCGGCGTATTCCCCGCACGACCGCACAACGGAACAAAACCGCACAGCTATTCCGGATATAACGACGGACTTGGTTAAGTATATTTATACGCTCGCAGCTACTATATTATTTCACCTAGAGTCCAAAATACGCGTACAATACATTAAATGTGTTTTAATTTTTATTGCTAGTTAATTTGACCGATATTCCAGTTTTGTCAAACGTTAAAATGCGAAATCAATCTCATCGACGCAGAGAGAATGACGACTACCAAAAAAAAGAAAAGAAAAAGAGGAAAAGTATGGCATCGCAAAGCGGGACTGAAGTATCTCTCTTCGAGTATACAACATATTTACAATAATTTATGATCGCGATAATTTTTTGTGTTAAGTGAATCATATAAATTATTACACATAAACTCTTAAACAGATTAGAAGTATATGTTAAACGTACCGTTGCATTTCGTTAAGGTTTACTGCGGTTTATATGAACAATTGAATAACGCGCCAGCGTATTACTCGTCAAAGCGCATGATTATCATAACTTGCTTGCCTCACATATATCTCTTGTATAACGTTAAATATGCGTAATCATATTGCACGACGGTAAGACGATATATCGCGATTCGAATTTCCCGTTCGAAGAGCAAACAAGAACACTGTTTCTGCAAAGTACGACATAAATATATGACTGTACATAATTAGGCTCGTGAATTCCACAAATTAAAGCATGGAATCGCCAGTTAATCAAGTTTCCAGCATTGACCGTTCATTATAATCATGATTATATAAAAAATTATTAACAAAAAAAAATGACGAAGAATGGAGAAGCAAAGTAAAAGTGAGCTTAACATATGTATATATGCATATTTATATATATTGCGATTCGAAATAACGTCGTTATAAACGTTCGGGGGCTGACCGAGGCTGACGAATAGATTAACGACGAAGTATCGAGAGTATCTTTGGATTAGGCAATATTTAGGCCACCAGGTTTGCAGTAAGCCTTTACGTTTGCCTCGCGTCAAAGACCGGAAATGTGGAAAACAATCGAGCTCATTACTTCAGATTAATTTTTCGTGTGAAAGCACGTTACGACAACAGCCATTCTGTCGGAAAACTGAGGTCAAAGGTTGCCTAGTTTACTGATGCCTCTCGTGCAATGCTTTATCTCTCTTTGCAGCGGTGAAACGTGACTTTTCTCACTTCAAAAGTGCATCACAACCTCCGTTAACTCTCGAACGATTGAGGCCGACGTTGTCCCGAAACATTCTACATATATATATATATATATGTATATGTATATATATATATAGGGACGCGCGCGCATAGTTAATGTGTGTGTGTGTGTGTGTGTGTGTGTGTGTGTGTGTGTGTGTGTACGCGTGTGCGTGCGTGTGTGTGTGTGTGTATGATAAATAGATCGTTTTCCGAGTATGCGCTAGATACATACCGTCTAACTAGGTCTCCGTAAGCGTTAAATAAATTTATGAATCATACGACGATGATCCATGATCGTGGGCGGGGCTCGGTGGTGTCGATGGGTTTGAACTGTTGTTCGAAGCTATCGAGTGTCTGGGGCTTCCACCGGATGGATGCTCCTATATGAACAATGTATCATGCATACAAATTGCATAATTTGTGGCATTAATACGCAAACGATATCATATGTCATGACGTCGTATGTAGTATATTTCATATAAGAATGGGCTTGAAATCATCTTTTATTCTTTCGCTCAATAAAAAAACGCCACAATTACATTTGCAGAGTATACAATTCATGTTAAAGGCTATGATCAATATATATCAATAAGATGTTATTCAATAAAATTCAATAGGGAGGCATGGGAACGGTTTAGCTGTCGAAAATAATGAGAAAAGTGAGTTTCATTCTTGAAAAGGTAAGAAAATAGATTTAAAAGGGTGAATAAAAAATTGAGTCGGTTGTGCTCATACCGCTCATTGTATATTTTTCTGACAAACCTGATAAAAACATTCTAAAAATAAAATCACAATTCTTGACCTTATGAACATTATGTCGTCGAGGTTGTTGTTACGTTTTATTTTTTTATTTTTTGCTTTATTTAAAAAAAAACTAAATTATTGAACATGATTTCTTGTGAGCGTTTTTTTTAAAAAGCTCAAATCGAGTAAGAAAAAAGTGAGAAAAGTGAGAAAAATGAGATTTTTCTCTTAAAAGTAAAAAATCTCATTTTTCACTTTTAAGACACACTAGTCGCTCTCATGCTTGAACAGGTAAGTTTGCGCTTTTTCGTTTAAGCCACTTTCATCGTCTTCCTTACATACCTTATTATGTAAAGATGCGATACTGCCGAGAGAGAGAGGTGTGTGTGAACGCAAGTGCACCGATTCGGAGTCGATTTGGTCCACCGGAGTACGTGGTAAGGACGGTGGTGTGGCGGTTGGTCGTGGTGGTGCGGGGCCTCTTCGTGATGTCGTTGAACCTGCGTATATTTCGTCTTTTTGAAGCGTAATACGAAACTGTGCTCGAGCACAACCAGACTCAGTTATTGTACAAAAGTGGCGCATTGTAATCCTAGAAATATATTCTTACTTCGGCAGATCGGTTGTTTTAGATTATTTGCAACAGCTCTAGAATATCCTGTTTAAGTTTACCATTGTGCGGCGAGTATCCAGAGTTTCTCGACATATGCGAACTCAAGCGACGTGTATCGGAAGGGGGATGCCTGGGAGGCAGCGGTGCTGGTTTGCTCGGTGTCTGGAGTGCGGAGTCATATAGCTGTGGAAAAAAGGGAGAAATCAAGAGAGAGCTCGCTCACGATTTACGAGTGTTGCGAATTGGAAAACGGGAGAATATCGATGTGTATATACATATATTGTATGTATAAAAGAAGCAATACAAATTATATAAATATAAAATATAATGCAGCGTATTTTTATAACATTTGTAACGCATACGTTTATATAAGGCAATTTTTCTATAATATTTATAAGTAATATCTACAATTTCAGAATATCTACGTTTCCAGTACACCGAACAAAGAACTCACATCACTTACTCTTTGTTGGCTACTGTGCAGATGAGAACTACTGTGATGACCGCTAGTGTGTTGTTGATCGGCGGTTTCTAGTGTCGTGGGTAAGTCTAATAAACGCTGTATCTGTAACACGACACAGAAGATACCTGTGTAAGATCGGACCAGAGAACATTGAGGCGTGCTAAGACGTCGTAAAGAGACGTCTTTGAGATAATAAGACGCCTAAAGTCCGTCTCTGAGACGTCTTTCGGACGTACGTGTTGTGTGGGATATGTATATTCGCATGATAACGCGACTCGTGAGTACAAGTCAAATGGCGCAAAGCCCCGTCCGTTTCGGCGGAATCTGAGAAACCTCGAGCCCCGATCACCACGTACCTGAATCCCGTTGCCTGGACCCATGTGGCTGATATGATTGAAATTTGTCGGTGCGGAAATCATCTTCGAGCGTCTATCGGTAGGTCGAGCGGCTCGATTCCCTTCTCTCAAGGAGAACCTACGCCGTGGCCTCGTCATTTGTCTACCGCTCGCATCCAGTGGCGTTAGATTTAGTAGTTCTCCTAGCGCGGCACGAATAACGATATTATTGAATGAGAATAATACAGCGCCGAAAATAGAACGTACGAACGAGACTCGCGTATATTTATGCGCGAGGTATACTTACGTTGATGCAAGTTGCTCAGATAAATGACATGCGGCATGTCGTTTATCACGCAGGACGTAAGGGAGCCCGATATGTTCAGCGGTCGGGCGCGTTTCACATTGAGCGTTTGCAACCAGTCGCCGGATGTACAGTCGAACACGTCGATATGGGTCTCGCTATACACTAATAGATATCCTTCGCAATAACCTATAATTTGTAAATATAATCAATTTAACGAGCGATCGATGAGACGAAGTGCTTTAAGGCTGTGTGACAGCCAAATTTACCGCTGAAGGTATTTTACAAAGTAATAATGGTGTGAAAAGGTATATAATATATAGAGTATGGAGCGGATGATAGTTGTTGATGGTCACTGGTATACTCACTGACTGCTGTAGGAACTGCAGGATACATAATCTCTCGGTCTCGATTCTTCCTCCCTTGACTGTCGACGTATACCGCTAGCGTATGGAAGACTAATAAAAACTCACCGCGCGCCAACTCGATGCAACGTAAGGCATCCACGGCGCTGTAGGTGAGAAAACCTAGAAGAGTATTCTCGGCATGGACCAAAGCTGAAAAAAAAACAGGGCGTGAGACGGATTTTGAAGAGGATCGCGCCGATAGCGTCGACTTCACTAGCATGATTTTGAGGATAAAGGGAACGTTGTCGGCTACTTACAAATAGTATGATGATCTCCCAAGATGCTGTAAATGGAAAAACCAGACGGGTAGCCGACGCACAGGCGCCCCTCGGAGAGGACTTGCAAGGTTTGCGCGAGACACGGCAGCATCAGCTCGCGTATACGCTTGTGTCTCGTTTTCGTGCGTGTTATTTCGTAAATAATGACTTGCGACGCATTCTAAAAGGGCAGAAAATTACATACCGATGAGCGATACAAGAGCTACGTCGTCACACACTGTCGCACACGATCGTCTTACTTGTTTCTTTATTGCAACACATAAGCAATAAGTAAGCGGATTGCGGCGCACTATTCCTGTCGTTAACGTAATGCATCCTTTGGTCTCCGCGACTTTAATCCACTCGACTTCGTCCCCATCCAAGGCACGTACTGGAACCAGTCGTACATGACGTTGCTTTCCGCTCAGCACCACGATCAATTGCTCTTCAGTAACGTACTCGAGAAGATATATCTTCTTTCCTTCACCGACTCTTGCAATTTCTGCGAATGCACATCGCAATTGCCGAGTTTGTTATTATCGTATTTGCTACATATTAGTATCGCTAACAGTGTAATTGCTTCTAATTGCCAATATAGCTGATAAAAAAACCATAAACCTTAAGGATTTCTCACAAAGCTAGCAGAAAGAAAAAAAGCCTCGGTGACTCACCACTACGGTCTAAATCTAAACAGAAGAGACCTTCCTCTGTACCAATGACTAGACGATCCGGATCAATAATCGCTCCTGACATAACATTTTTAATGAATGCCAAGGTATTGTCCAATAATTCCTTCGCTCTAAAAATCTGCGACAAGATGTACAATGCATGAAAGAAACAACGCGATGAGCAGAGACTAGAAACTTGAGTTGTTCATCACCATACCGTTGTGTTTGGAAGATTATTTCTCTTTAGGATCCTATGAAGCTCACTTAAAGCTACTACCCATTTTGTCTTCTCGCTCTCTGTATCTGCCAACATCAACGTGTGATTTCTTAATCCAGGAGGCTCCAACAGCGATGTAGTTATCTGCCCAAATCCAAATGAAGATAATTTTTTTCAAATTGTTTAAAATCGAAGTGTATAACATACAGCAGACTTTGAATTATTTCAAATGATCGGGAATGAAATTAGCCTCAAGGATCTGTGGTTGCAACAAGAGAGTGTCGACAATTTTACTCTAAATATCCACGAAATCATAATTATTCAAAGCGATCGGGGATGAAGTTAATTTCAAGGATCTACACCTGAGGACCCGCTAGCCGTAGCTGCAACAAGAATGTAGAAATTTTACCCTAAATATACACGGAATGTCCTTCTTTGTAGCGTGTATTACGTCAGAATCACGAACGGAGCTAACGCTGAACTCTTCGTCTCGCATGTCCAGCACTTGCGAAACGTATACAGATGGCAAAGCATTGCGATCCGGTGAGATGTCGTAGAGAAATAACTTGAAGTCGCAGACCACGACGAATTGGCGCACCCAGCCCTTTTTGACACCACCCATTTTTGGCACTTTGACGTAACCTTCATAGGCAGTACCTATCCCACGCGTAGGATCGATTCCCAATGGTCGCTTGGCTGAAACGATAAGTTCGCGTGTAAAGGTTACCACCACTACTCATTTAAGATTAAAGAATTTCATGAGACAAAATATGGAAACTTCGATTACTTTGATCGTGGGGTACGGGACACATCGGCGGTACTTTGTCGCAACAAGGCATATGGCAGGCGAAGCCGCACACCTCGCACACGACTCCTTGCCTCGTTAATCCGACCATCAAGGACGTGCAGTGATTACACTTGGTGGGCGCTGAAAATGTTCGTACGAGAAACTGGTGCGACTTCGGCTTTGGTTGCAGATTGGCTTGGCCGTGAGAGGATGAAGACTTGTTCAGAAGTTCATGGGACAATGGCGATGTTGGGTCCTAGGGAAGAGAAAAACGAGGGGAAACGTGAGCTCGTTGATTCGCAAGAGAGAGAAAGACGGAGATCTCGTCCGAGATATTCGAGATATATTTCAACGGCGCGGCATCTCAGCATGAGAGAACGGAAAAGACCATCTCTACGATTTCTTTCGATCCGTTAAATCCATTCACTCTCTGCGAGGTACTCACAATACTAAGCTCGGACAAGTTACTTTTGCTGCTCGTAATACTAGGTGCACGATTGTCTTCGATGTCACCTTCTACACTGTCGACACTTCCGTGACGCGTACTACTTGTTGTCTCTTTGAGAAAGTGTTCGAGATACGACATCTGCGACGTAGGACGTTCTAAAACTGATCAAAGACAAAGGTCCGATTAACAGGCGGCGGTGAGGAAGGCGCGAACGCTCGTGGTGATAACATCCACAAAATTTGCAAAAGGGTTGCGAACGTGAGAAATAACATCGTCGTCCTAGTATTAATGTATATATCAGCAACGTGTAACATCTTACCTGAAAACACGGTAGGATTTTTTTTTAGCGATAAACACATTTACGAGACATACGAACATGCGTCTCGCGTGCTAAGCCAGAAAAATATCAACTGTAACCACAATCAGACTCCAACATACAATTGTCATTCCAAGCAATGTCACGAAAATGACCAAGGAACATGCTCCGTTACGGTAAATACGATGTGGGATAAGTTCTCGCTAACGGAAGTGGGTGCTCAAATACGCGAGTTTCAAGTGGTGCAACAAGCGAGATAGTGCACGCGTAACACGTACCTGTTAATCGCTCGATTAAAGTAAAATCAACCGGCGGAGTGGAGATCGCTAAAGCTAATCGTTATCTAGAGGGAGATAAATGAAAAAATAAATTCACCCAAATACCACTACGAGTTGGACGAGAATGAACATTGGGCGTAGTAACAAAACTCACACCAATCGCCTCCATATTAAAATGGGATATTATACAAGTAACACAGTGCTATGTTTCGAAAAGGCCTTTAGAAAGAAAGAGAGAGAGAGAGAGAAATATAGACAAGATCTCTTCTTTCTCGGATTTGTGATATTGAAAACGAAGAAGAGAAAGAGAAAAGAAAACATAGCGCTGTGCTGTTTAATTAGCAGTACAGTCGGCCAACCAATCCAAAGTCGCTCTTTTGCTGCCACATCATTTACCGGGCGGCGATACGATGGCGACGGCATTCTGACTGATGAATGTGTTGACTGGAACGAATCTAGTTAATAAGCGACAAGTCGTGATGCGGGGGGCACGCATTACTGGTAGGGGTGACGACGGCTGATGTACGATGATACGTTGGGGTTTGGTGCTAACGATGTTTGGAGATTTGCTTGATGTGTTGCTGGATGAGACAGCTGTCACAAATATAGTTTGAAGATGAGCAACAAGAGGCCCCACACGCAGCTCGTTACGCCAATAAACAGAGGCACTTTGTAGTCTAGAAATCAGAATCGCATACCGTACTGGAGAATCGAATTACTATGCTACACAGATCCCAGTAATAGCGATCTCTATGAAATCGTACGTTCGCATATCGGTATGAAGCACATTTTTAACACAACGTCCGAAATCGTACAAATTTTCTCGCAGGCGGACAAAACACATTTTGTCTGTGGTCTGGAAGCATCCAGATGTGTAGCGTGTCATGCCAGGTAATCGAGTTGCTCTGTTCAACGACGATCGTAGTACCAATGATCTCTGTAACTGTGTATGTGTATATGTGTGTATATGTGTATATAGGTGTGTGTTACATATCGTTAATATATCTTCTCAATAATATCGGTCGTCTTTCTCCATTTGCACCGGCTACGTTTTACCACGTTCTCAAGCGAATCGATATGCTTGCATATTCGTTCCATTTGTCATACAACTTAGCTTTTCTCGCGACCGGGGTTTACTTTCACCGTTGGAATGGTAATTCTGCCTGAACGGGGGCTCCTACCATCAAGAATGATAATTGAAAAACGCATCGGAAGAATTAACAACGATTAACAGTCTGCGCCATCTTCTCCTCCGTTGGAAAAGAAATAATCTTTTGACAAAATATACTTAATGAATATTACAGAATGTCGTTCAGGAAATAACAGATGAAAACACGACGAGTTCTAGTCTCATATCCGAAATCAGCGAGATCAGAGAGATTAGAAAACGCAGATTTAGTTTCGAAGAATATATAATAAAAGCAAAAAAAAGATGGCACATAAAAAGTGTGTGTTACAGACGGGACAAGACCTCAGAGAAGAAACTACTCAGGTATGCCCATAAATCATTTTGTTGATTAACAGAAGACGAAATGATTATTAAAAAGAAATCGGCGTTTCGCAACTGATATTTTTATACATAGCACAATCAAATAGGCCGTACAAAAGTCTACGAGTAAGAAACTACCGTATATACTACACAGTGCATCGTATTATTTCCACCTTAATACCATAACTAAGATGAAATAATAAAAAGTAATAGACTGCATAAAAGTAATAACAACAATCGTATAAGAAAAAAGTAGTAAACTAAGGTATTATTATTATTATCGCTTTGGAGATTGCACCGTATTTTTAAGCCAATTGAATCGTAACGGTGACATTTTAAACGACAATAAAACGACTGAAGAAATACTGGGGGAGGGAATTTTTTAAATTTTTCTCAACAATATAAACTTAACAAACCTCTTCATTCATCCACAATTAAAAAGATAATCAATTAAACACTACACCGAACATAATCATAAATTGATGAACAAGTAATTGTGTGTGTATAGATATATAAACAACTATTTATACCAATATATAAAATAGTTCCACAAAGCTGGCTCGAAGATATGCATGCAAAAGCCGTCACCGATAATGCAAGTTTAATGTATAGAAGAATTTCAAAGATTAGAGAGACAGAGATACGAGAGATATTCAATGTACGTTCCAGCAACATCTTTTATACCGGAAAGTCAGAATTTAGAACACGTTCGATGCTTGAATAAAGATTAACACATTTGCAAATTACGTACATGACATGTACAGCTACGACTTGCATAATAAGGGTGGACGCGGTATTCCCATAGCGATATAATGAGTGAACCTTTGTGCGTTTCTTACTTTTCACATTGTCGATTGAAATGTACTTACAGCCATCCCCGGTATCAAGACGCGCTTGCAATTCTTTTACTTGCATATCTTTCCGCTTCAGCTCGTGCGACATGGTGTCTAACCGCTGCTTAAAATCCCTTAGTTCCCTAAGAAGAAGAGGAGAGAAAAGTAGGCGAAGTTAGTCAAAAAGGAAAGACCCAATTTATTCCTTCGCGTGCAACTGAAGCAATGATATCTCCGCTTTACTTACTTTTGCGAGGCTATCATGTCCGAGCGTGTCTTGGTGAGTTCCTCGGAAATCGCTTGCTTCGCTTGTATCTCGCTCTGCAGGGAGCTCTGCAAGTTCAGAAGCTCCATCTTGTCGAGTTTTTGCGACCGACGGTTGCGCCAGTTCTTGTCCGCCATGGTGGTTCCGCCGCCGACACCACCCACTCCACCGGAGTGCTTTAAAAACTCCAGCTCTTCCGTCATTTTTGTAGCCAGGGCCTGAAATCGAAATGGACGACTTTTTTCTTCCCCACACTGAATGGACAACACGGTGTTGAACCAGTGACGAACCTGCAGATATCCACGCGCATCCTTCTCGTCCGACACCCACTGAATGATCTCGGTGATCTGAGCCTCCCACTGCGCGATAGCTTCCTTCTTGTTCCTCAGCTCCTCGTACTCGTCCTCCAATTGCCTCCGTTCGCCTTGCAGTCTGTTGACGCTGCCGGTGAGATCACTGAGCTCCAACATGAGCTTCTTGTTCTCCTCGACCAACATGATCTTCTCCCTCTCGTAACGTCTGCTCAGCTCGTTTATCGTCTCCTCGCTGTCGGTGATGTTCTCCAGTCTTGCGGCGTCCAACTTCTCCTTCGTGAGCTGCACCTCTCTCTCCAGCAACTCCCTCCTGGTCTCCGCTTCATGCAGTTGCTCTTGCAGGCTCCGAATCTCGAGATTGAACCTGCCCTGCTGCTGGGTCAGGTTCTCGTTGTACTGCACCTCGAGCTTCTCAACCTCCGCCTTTAACCTATTGATCTCTTGCGTCGCCAAGGCGTGATTCGCGCTAGCGTCGTTCCCGAGAGAACGCTGTCTGATCTTCTCCGTCTCCTCCTGCATCTGCTTGCAGTACTCTTCACTACGTTCACGTAGCTTCCTCTCCTTGCTGGTCTCCGCCATCGCTTCGTCGACTCTGTTCTCCAGCTCTCTGCGCAGCTTCTCGGCCTTTCGTATATCGTGGCGCAGACTGTCGACCTTCTGCATCACGACCTCCAATTCCTCCTCCTTGTCCCGCACCTGTCGCGACAGCTTTTGCTTCTGTTGTCGCAGATCGGACAACTTATCCGTCACCTCCGTGTACTCCGCCATCGCGAGCTTACGCTGCGTGAGCGCGTCCTTTAATTCCTTGTCTTGAAGTTTCAGTTTCTCCTGCGCATCTAATTTGTCCTTGATAGCCTCCTCCTTCTCCGAGCGCAGGCACCGAACTAATTTCTCTAAATCCCGAAACTTCGTCATGTCGCCGTTATCTAATGTTCGTAACTCGCGTGGAACGTCCATAGATTTCAATTGCGATTCCAACTCTATGTAATAGAAAAAGATTTTGCGTCAACACTGTGATCGATACTAGACGAAAGACACCGGCCAATTAAGATACGACAAAACCTTACCGCAATTGCGTTTCGTTAGTGTATTAATCTCGTCCCGGAGCTTTCTGGTTGCATTGTTGGAATCGGGAGAGATGTCGGGCGAAGAATGAGCTACGCCCGAATTCTTCATGTCATCGATAGTTTGCAACAGCCGGGCGTTCTCTTCTTCGAGTATCTGCACGTGCTTGTCCTTCTGAGACAAGGCGGAGATACAACCCAGATCCGATATGCAGCTGCAATAGCAAGAATTTTCCAGCGTCGTGTGAGCAAATATATTACAAAGATCAATACTCTGCTGTCAACAGCGTTGAATAAAAACACGGGCTTCATACCTTCCCTGTGTAAAACTGAAACCGACGAACGGCAAGTGAAGAGCGGAAAAGGCAGAATTCGCGGCTGGCGGAACGGCGTCGGAAGTGCGAACGTCGGTATCGTCTACGTCGAAATTCGACGTGTCGCTGGGCGACGAAACTTCAGGAATGTACGGCGCGGTACTGTCTCTCAAAGTATCCCAATTAACTCCGTCGAACCACGGATGTTTCTGAAGTTCAAGAGGCGCGTTGGAAGTAATAGACACACACATACGGATGAGATAACAGTGATGAACGACGTGAGCGCGTGAGATCTACCTTGAAGTCGTCGATTCCATTTTGGCCTAGTCTAAATTCAGAGCTGCAAATCAGCTTTCTCATCAGATCTTTGGCTTCTTCGGAAACATCGTACATGTCGTCCGTAGGAAAGTCAAAACAATTCTGCGAACATAAGAAAAATGGTGAGAGGAGATACAAATTTTTACCGATGAGCGGATAATTAAGTAATTAAGTAAAAGGATATCGTGTTAATGAATATTGGCGAGTTTACCTTGTGATTCATAATCTTTCCATAAGTTTCGACTAGAGATTCCGCGTAGAAGGGCGTTTCGCCGTACAGCATTTCGTACATGCATACTCCAAGAGACCACCAATCGCATTCCGGGCCGTACTGTCCCTGACCGTCCTCCATCGCCTGGCAAACATACGCGTGAAACGATGACGCACATGATGACATGATGCACATTACATTGAGTGAAATCACACTGTCTCTTTACAGCTAGAAATATGTACGATACGCAAAATGAAATTATACCCTCAATATTTCCGGTGAGATATAATCCGGGGTACCAACGGCGACGTTACTTTGCACCGTACCGTCTTCGAACAGTCGTAAGCAGGAGCCGAAGTCAGCCAACCTGATGTGACCGTTCGCGTCCAATAGAACATTGTCGGGTTTAATGTCACGATGTACATAGCGCAAGTCATGTATAGAACCTATAGCTAGCACCATTTCCGCTATGTAGAATCGAGCCATATCTTCGGGAAGACGGTCCTCAAATTTGCTCAATAACGTCAATAAATCCCCGCCGCAGTAGTAATCCATGACCAGATACTGTATAGACAGACGGAGAAAGGAGAATCAGTTAGATCCGCGTCAGTCATTTCAGGCATTATCTCTCTGTGAAATATCGCAAATTAATATTCATCAATACTATTTTACCAAGTTATTGTCATCTTGAAAGGCATAATGCAGGTTCGTGATCCATCTGCGATCACCATATACTAGTACATCCCTTTCTTCCCTGAAGCACGCGGTCTCGGCCCGCTTTAACATCTCCCACTTGTTCAAAATCTTCATGGCGAACACCTTGTCCGAGCCGCGCATTCTTACGACGCATACTTCCCCGAAAGCACCTCTACCGATGACCTTAACGATTTCAAAGTCCTCCCGTGTCAATTGCAAGCTCTTTATACACGAGGCTATCGGTTTGACTGCAAAAAACCAACGATACAAGTGATACAATCGCCTGATAAATGCGCTCGATTGGTGCGTTCTTTGTGGATCTGTTTACAAACCAATCGACAAAGGACGCGGCATCAAGCCGGAATCTAGATCGAATGTTTATATGTGTACAGCACTAATGGTCGAAGAAAGTATTACTGCGAACGTGAACGTCCAAAGACAAGTGCATACCAAACTCGATAAAATCGGAAACAGTCTTTTCACGGCGTAATGAAGAATTACAGCATTCGTCGTATAACACGAGCAAAACATCGATAAGCGTCTCGATGGAAATGGTATGGCCCACTCGTCCACCTTGGGCAGGGCCTCCGATGAACAGGCCCTCGAGTTGGCGTAACCTTCCTCCAATGCCTATAAGGTATCTCTTTTGCTTCAGATATTCTCAACTTTGCATATGTATACAAGTTTGCATATTTACATATTGCATGAGACATATATTACATACTGTATTTTATATGTGTGTGTGTGTATATATCTATATGTATATGCATCTAATTGGATTTCCTATAACATATAACAATTGATACCATTGTTTGGAAGTCCCTTTGGCATAATATCAGGAGGGAGATGGCCGTAAAGATATTGTGACGAATCTGACATGTCTCTTTGCTGATAAGGTTGTTCCTTACCACAATCTATAGAGGATATTTCCATTGTTGTTATTAGCATTCGTTACCTCCTTATACCACATTGTTATTCACTGGTTAAAATTTCTGCAATATACAATTGGCCGCTGTAATAGTCATTTCAAATAGATATCAGCAGTCACGCGACCACATTAACTTCACGAATTTGAAAAATTTGTATAAGTTATTTTTCTTCATCAAATACCGATACGAATAATTGATATATTAATTATTTAAGATTTTTTACTTCCTACTTTTAATACTACAAAGTTATTGTATAAAATTAAAATATTATTTTATTCTTTATAGCTTTTTTTTATATCTATTATTGACATCCAAATTTCAGCTGTTTCGTAATCTTGATTTTTTTATGTTTGCAATATTTTATTCTTTAAAGTTGTATGTTCTGTTATCAGTATATTGACTACTTTATAATCTTAATTTTTATATTTATTGTAAACGATACTTTTTATCATGGAAGATTACAACATATGAGGAGAGAGACAAAGAAAAAAAAGACGAGGGAAGAAGCAATAGAAATCAAGAACAAGGGAAAGGTAAAACATCAAGAATGAGAAAAAGTACAAAAGCAGTTGATCGAAGAGACCCGACTTCTTACAGAAATATGGATAAATCGTGTCATTCTGACCTCTTGAAAAGGAATTTTGTTTACTAATGTAGCACAACTTTGGATGTCAGGAAGAAAATAAGTTTGACATTTGATTCGCATGGATATACAAAGGAAATGCGAAGCAAACTGATTTTTTCCCTTTTTTTTAATATAGAGAGCAATCATAAATGTACGTACACCTATACCTACCGATATATATCAGCGTGCTAGAGTACGTGCGTGCACGGAACAGTCTTCATTCATTTCACTCTCGGTCATCGTACCGGGATCATTCACGTTAGAAATTACGTAACTGCTACAAAGATAGCTAAAATATTCGGCGAAAACGCGCAACAAGAGAAATGCGTGTAAATAAAAAAAGCGCAGGTAAAAATAGTGCGCCGAGGTGAGACACCGCACTCGCGATGGATTCTGGAATTTAACAAAATCACAAAGGGTGTCTCGCGCGTCGCGACACGACGGGAACGCGCACGCTATATCGTAATTTCGTCGAGTATCACAGAGACGTAATACCCGTCGTTGCACGTAGCCGCGTATCGTCCTAAATTTCAAGTTTATAACCTCGACACAACACTATACTGCCATTCGCGACCAAATTTGTGACGTAAAGTTTCCCTATCGCGTAGGATGATGTTTCGAGTGAAAGGCTTTTCCTTCGCCGATCCGAAGCGACCGCTCGATTAATACGAGCATACCTGCCGAGACGACGCACCCCGCTTTCGATCTTCCTCAATTGTTTATTACGCGCACCATTTGGTTATCATAAACCATCTTGCGTAGCCATCTCCGAACCCCAACAATTTGATTGACCCCCTAGCAGGCCCTACACAGAAAAAAATATGGCAGCTCTACGTCATTAAATGTAGCCATGATAATCGGCATGCAGATTGGCGTTGCTGTTTGATTTTCTAACACGCGGCATTAGTGACAGAGGTCGCTCCCCGCGCTCAAACTCTCGATAGGAGAGCTATATTCGACGTTTGATTGGCGCGGCCATTTTGTCTCCACCATCGAAGTCCTAGTGACTTTTTCTGTCATCGTGGGCGTAGGTTCTTGTGCTGCATTCCGCTCAAAAATTAGAAGGCCAATCTAAGGGCTAATATGATCAATGCTATAGATTTGTCATATCAGCTGTACTTTCTATACTCCCCTGTTGTAGTTTTTTCTTTCTTTCCCTTCCGTCCGCCGTATATCGATTTCACTTCAAGTGCAGAAAGTGTAATGCAGTACAATTAAAAAGAGAATAGACTTACTACTTTTTTTTATTTTACTCAAGATATGTCGAGTAAAATTGTTCACTGCTAGCATATTACTGCTTGAAGAACTCACCGATATATAAATATTAATCCAAGTGGACTCAAATATCTTTCTATTTAAATGTTAAAGTCGAAAAGTCGCTCGATCGAAAAAGTTTGGATGCCCTTGTCAATTCCTGTTGCTTATGAAGCAGGTTAGCATTTTTATTACAGCTGGCAAGATTGTCTTTGTGCGGTTTATGAATTTTTAAAGAGTTATGAACGTGCAAATGAAATCAACAATGAGGTGTACAAAATATCAAAACAGCAAGAAGCTACTTTCGAGTGTAAAAGAGGGTAAGTGTGACATTTAAAATCAAACAATATAATGTGACATTTAAGTTTGAATATATCAAGAATATACACTATATAAGGTCTGTTCTTTATAATTGAATTAGCTGCACTAGCATTAGTTCTATTTCTTTGTTTTTTATACAAAGTTACAGCTATATATCTGTTTTTCCTTAAGTTCGGAAGGTATGCGCTAGTTCAACGATAAAGGACAGACATAATTTCCTTTCTTGTTAGTAAAACTACTGTGATCTATGTGCAGATGCTGAGAATGTGACAAAGCCAGCAAATGCCTGGATAAATAACAAGAATGAAAACTCTCCTAAAAGTTGTCGAGAATACATAGCTCCTAATAATCATAGCACACCGGTTAGGCAGAAGCCCAGCTTGGACAAAGTAGAAGAGCCATCTGATCTTGATTATTCCCCTAACCCGATCTTACTTCCATGTACACAAGACGGAGGTAATGAGGTTGCGTGGGATTGGCAGAATACTCTGAGCAAAACTCCTAATAGCAGGAGCAACAAACAAAATGTTCAGTCTGAAACACCTAAAGGCACTAAGTTATTCCCAAGGAAGAGGAATTCAGACTCGCCTTTGTTGTGCAAGCCGCTCAAGAGGAAGACCATCAATATGGAGAACATGGAACACATCGGACAGTTTGCAGCTGAATTACAAGCGTTAAGTGAGAAGATGAAAATTATAAAACAAAACGACCAAAGTGAATCGGATGATTGTATCAAAGAAGCACCAGTTGTGGTAAACACAAGCAACGAAAAAGAAGTCCAGCCTACTGTCAGAGATAAGGAGAACTGTGGCACAGAAACCAACAGTCATAACAATGTTAGCAAGAAGAGCTCGAGTTACGATGATTTATTTGACGATTCGGTAGATGATTCCATGGCTAGATGCACTCAGGAGATAGAGGAGAAGTTAAATCTGATTGCGGGCACAGGAAGCTCCACTGTGCATCCACAGACGGATATCAAAGAAGAAAAATTATCTCCCGCAAGTGACACAATTGTTAAAATTTCTCCTACACAGTTTAAGGAGAGTACAGCGGCGGTACAACCAAAAGTGTCACCAAAAAGCTTGTTCCATGGAGGCACAACCGGTGGCAGCATATTAAGGACGTATTCGAAACTGCCATTGAAGAAAGACGCAAGCTCCAGCATGATAGTTTCGCCTTGGAAAGATAAGGATCTACATAAGCTGTGTCTAAACAACAATATGTTACACTACGACGTTGAAGAATCTCTTGATGATAAGAAATCGTCACGAGATAGCGCAGTAGAATTATTCGGTATCCCAGACGATTCCTTTGACGATTGCTTAGCGACTTGCATCGAAGATGACAAGTTATTCTCAACGCCGGCTGAATCCGGCGGTTTCTCAGCTCCTAAAATTGAACCCAGTTACAAAACTTTGACTCATGCACCTTTGATAGGAAAACAGTACTCTAACAGCAGCAACTCTAGCAACAGTACGCAGGCGAATTCCACGGCGAAAGTCGAGACGTCCACCGTTGGCTCATTGAGCAATAGGAAATTTTTCAAATCTAAAAGCTTATCGGACAAATGCATCGGTCAGAACGTGATCGCAAACTGTAAGAACACAGCGCACGTAACGTTCCCCTCGTATTCGGCCAAGTCCGCGTCACACTTGAACCCGTCGCCCAAGATGTCGTACGGTAGGAGTATCGGGCATTCTTCCGTAAGTAGAAATTCGATTGCTACAAATGACCGCCGTCAGATCGGAAGCGGTGCAATTTCGCTAATATCCAGCGCGGATCGAATGCTGGGGTCCGATGTTAACAGGTCCGCGGTAAAAGAAGGTGGTAATCGTTTTGTCAAACACAATTCCACCGGTAATATGAGAAACGATACCGGAGAACCGACCAAAATCAGTTCGCCGCCAGCTCGATGCACTGCGGAGGAAATCGAGAGGAAAAGGTTGCAAGCTAAGGCGAAACGCGAGGCGAGACAGAAACAGTACGTTTTAAGCATTCAAAATAAAATGGCCGATAAAGTCAATAGATAAAAACAGCTGTCGTCATCCGTGTTATTTATTACGGAAGGGTGAATATCTCTCCGCTCTGCCGAATATCTGTCGGCTAATGGCCGTTATTAACTTCCGTTTCGCCAACGCGAATGAAAAACGGACATAACGAATGTTATTATTGTTATTCATAATTCGCGTTATTATAATTGTTATACAGTACTCTCTGAACAGAATTGCGCGAATATTTTTTTAATTGTACAGGTATGAATATGTGTGCGTGTATATTTGTCTGCGTATGAAAGAGATCTATTTGTAGAATATTTTAAGCTGTGTACAGAAATGTTTAGAATCGCAGAAAATGCAACTGGGATTCATATTTTTGGAGTTCTTCTAAACTTTTCGAAATTAATTGCTCTTTCCTGACTGAAGGATTACAACAAAGAGAGAAAGAATTGATAATGGTTATTCGACTTGAAAGGTTATAATAAAGGTTATAATAAAAAGGTTTATAACTCGAGCATACGTACGCGAAATATAACCGCAAAAGCGAAAAAAACGAGTACGAAACCATATATATGTATATATGCGAGTAATTCATTGTAAATTAGTTTTTTCTTCTTAACTTCTCTCTTTCCCCATTTTCTCTTTCTTCTGTTATATATATATGTATATATATATACGGGATGTACATTTTCGACTGTACAGGGTTCCGCTTTGACAACATATTATCATAATTGTTCGTTCCAATATGTTCTTTATTTTACGGATTAGTTTATTTAGAGATATTTATATATGCGTTACGATACAAATCACACGATTACGTTTTTGCAATTGCAGACTCATCGTTCTTCCCTTTCCCCCTTTTTTTAATTCAATTTCAGGAGGTATCTATCGCCTAGGACACGTAAAGATGTAAGATATGCAACGTGTATTTTACACGAGAGATAGCTTAGATTTATTTATACCGTGCGTGTGGAGATCGAGGGGGAGAATTCGTTGTAACGCGATTCTCTCGGATTTCTGGAACAAAGTACTGTAGTATTGTTATATACAACGATATTATATATATATATATATATATATTTTTCCATGAGATTTTCCCTTCTTGTCTTCAATTATCCTTGAGAAACGGGGTGAGTCCGCGCACGCGTGCGACCGTCGGGCTTTGATATGTCGGTCGCCTGCGACCGACTTGATCAATATATCGCGTGACGTCACGCAAGAAGTCACCACCTGCTCGCTCCGTTGTTCTACACGGCTAAACGCTGAACTCGAATCGTTCTCTCTCTCTCTCTCCCCCCCCCCCGCC